CCCCCCCCCCCCCCCCCCATTTCCTAAATCCCTCTGGAAATGCACACCTAAGCCCTTTGCAAAAGGTGAAAAAAGGAGGAGTTATGTGGTGGTCAGTGCTGCTTCAGGGTAACTCTAATTTGTGAAGGTTTACTATGCAAAATGCTTGGGGTGGGACGAAAGGAGTGATAATTGTGAAATGCCCCCCTCCATCCCTAAAAATCTCATGAATTTTTATGTAGGCCCTGATGCTGCACCGGACTGTGCACAGGCAGACAGGACTGGGCCTTTAATGTCTGGTAGATTCACAAAGGAAATTGATGCACTTATGCACCTCTTGTTGCTTGATGGATGGTCCTGTACAGCAGAATGAGCAAGAGGGACATGCTGATATTTTAAGACCCATTCTGCCTTGAGTTACCATTGCTGAATAGTATCATTGCTATTCTGTGGCTAACTCTCTCTCTCTGCTCTAATTGGACAGATGTTAACCTCTGCAGGATTCAGCAGAGGTCAGTGGACTCCCCTCTAGTGTCAGAAACCAACCAGGCAAAGATAGCAAGATCAAGGAATTATGAATCCTAATCACATTTGCACTCTGACTGTTCAGTTATAGATGTCAGTGGAGATTTTGAATCAGGATGAATTATAACATGAGAAAAGACCACACACAGTAGAAGTTGGTTTTGCTAAAAGATATAGACTTATTCTGCTTATTAGGGCTGTTTTGGTCTTTTGTCCTGATTTAAGCAGGTGATTTTGAATTTTCTCTTAATTCAGTTATATCCACAATATATGGAAAAATACCTGAGATGTATTAGTATAATGCTATAGTATTTCACTAGGTTGAAGTGATAAATGCTAATTTGAAAATGGTAGTGTTGGAGTGAGGTTGTAGTTATGATGGTTCAGGAAATGAGAGATACCAGCTGTGTCCCTGACCCAAAGAAGCATGTCATGCATTTGGAAGCTTGTTTAAATCGATCCTAACTGTGCACTTGGTCCAGTAAAAGAGAGATCACCCACAGAAATCCTTGCTTTGCACTTTCATTTGAAAATCATATTTCCATCTCAAAATTAGTGCCTACTCTCCAGTTATCATGATTTTAGGGATAACTTGCAACAGTGTTTCCCAGAACATGTTTTGCCGTGTTTCTGTTTTGTGCACATTTGCATAGAATCATTTTTTCCATTTTGTTGATCATTTTTGTTGTCTCATGCATTAGCACAATGACTTCATCCTTGTTCAGTGGTCTAGTGAGGGCTCATATGCTGGCTTTTTCACAGGCCTTGAGAGGGGAATTATTGCCAGTAACAGGATGTTAAATTGTTTATTTTTTTAATACTAGGTAGCAAGTTGTTTGTGTTCCTTTAAATGAACATTTTGGAAATGACTTTGATTTTGGTTCATTATCTTTTGTGCACAGGAATGAAAATGCACAAAAAGTGTTAGTGTTCTGTTTGTAGCTGTTCAACACGTAAACACAAAAAAAACCAACACGTTCTTTTATTTTAAGCCTTTAGACTTTTACCTTCTTAAAAAGTCATTGGTTTAGCATCCATTGACTTCATTAGGTACAGCATCACATCTCTCGCATGTTTTGTCTTCCATTATTGTTTTAAGGATTTTTAATTGCTTGTTATGGTGTACATTTGACAAAATTGATTACATGGTATGAATCCAAAAGATTACATCTTAGATGATGTATGGAGGAGCAAAGTAGCTGATGATTGCCAAGAATCAAGATATACCTTTCATTGTAGTCATAAGTGTACTACCACGTTCTTAAAAACTATATTGCAAAATAAGGCTTAGGTTTTTTACTGACTGCTGCTTTAAACTTGGTGTAGAAATGTAAGTAGATACGTTACAGGGAAGGAAAAATATCTTCAGTATGTGAAAAGTCCAAAAGAGGGCAACTGAAACTTTAATTTTATGTGGAGATGTTAACAATACACCTTCTTTTCCTTCACGTTTGTTAGGTTGGTCGTCTAGAAAATGCAATTGGCTGGTACCACAGTCACCCTGGCTATGGCTGCTGGCTTTCAGGGATTGATGTCAGTACTCAGATGCTTAATCAGCAATTTCAGGAACCCTTTGTAGCAGTGGTTGTAAGTATTAGATGTTAACTGAGCACTCAGTAAACTGATAAAACTATGCAATAATTAGACTTCATTTGTGTTGAGTTTTCTTATTGTCAGCTAACCTGCTAATGCTGTCTTACTTTGTTTTACGGAGGGATAATATTCAAGCTTCAGTTCAGTATTTTCCCTTGTCGAGTTTTTTGGCTATCTGCATGGCCAAGATGATGGTAAAAAACCTAGCTGTTTCATTGGTCTTAACATTTGCTGTATGCTTTATATACATTTTTTTTATTTTAAAATCTAGTTTTGCTCTTAGATTAGAAAGCTATGTTTGGTACTTCTGCAAGATGGTGTTTAAGTAGCCTACACTTGGTCAGTTGCAGAAGTCTCAGCAATCCAGTTCTGTGACCCAGCGTTTTCTGGTTTTTTGTTCATTTGTCTGGTGTTTTTGATTAAACAATATCATGTATACTTGTTTTTAGTGAAGAGTGCAGAAAAACAGCAGAAGACTGAAATAATTTGAGGGTATTTGGAAGAAGTATAATTAAGACTTTGGTCTGAAATTGAGAAAAGTAAATATGAATTATTAAGAAAAATTTCCAGATACAGATGACTAAATCCAGCTTCACCTTTAGATGGGTACATAGTACTTTGGAGTTAACTTTAGTTAACTGCAGAGTAGCACTTCAACTCTTCTGGAGACTTCAGATCCTACTTCCCTTAGAAAAGCATTTCCCCTTAGAAAAACTTTCAAAAACTGGAGGTGTGGCTTCCCTCCTTTTGACCCAATAGCCTTATGACTAGGGCATCTATCTAGGGTCTTGGAGACTCATGCTCTAGGCTCTCCCCAGCCAGGGGATGGGATTTGGATCTACATCTCACACTTTCCACAAAGGTGTAGGATAAACAGGGCTAAGAGCATCTTACTATCCTACTTCTTGAAGCTTGGCCTGTTGGGCAGCCAAGAGGGGCGATTTGTGAAGCCACAAAGAGGGCAAGCCAGGAAGAGCCTAAATTTTGTTTCTGTTCCTATTGCTGTCTGTTCATTTTATCTAGTGATTAATTTTTTAAGTGCAGAATGCAGGAACACTGAGTGGGGTGGGAATCTAGGGTCACGTTCGAGCAGCAATGTGATTCTTCACAAAGCTTGACTCCCTCTGCCTTGTTTTCTTCCTGGTTCTGATGTCAGATAGTCTGTAACTATGGCTTTCCTGTGAGTGTCATTTGGGGGCCTCGCAGGGAGTTGCATGCTTTTCCAGATAGGAATCAAATCATAACAGAGCATAAAGGGCTGGAAGCAGATCCCTTCCAATCAGCCTGAGAAAGCAAACAGAGATGTATGTGGGGGCGTAGGACCTAAAATCTTTGTATGTATCCCAAGATGTCACTTGGCTGTTAAGTTTTGCTCTCCTTGTCTAAAAGGGAGCAGGATTTGGGCCCAAGTTCTGTTACGTTGTTGCATCATGTATCAGTGAAATGTTGGAAGTGGCTTCAGCTTTCACTCTGATAGCTAAACTGGACAACGGATTAGTAAACTCATCTGCGTTCCTGCATTCCTTTCTTCCCATATCCACATCAAAAGTTAGATGATGTAATAGGGCCTTTCTGTCTCAAAAGAGGGGATAGTAAAGGGTTTGCTGAGATGCCTGCTAACCATTCCATTCAGGTATGCTGTGGATAAATGAATTTTAGAGTGGCTAGTGTTAAGTCACTCATACTCTACTGTACTATGCTGTAATGAGAACTCAATTTGATGTCCTTAACAAAAATACTGTTCTTTATAACAAAGTAACAGGAATTTTTCAAGTTAGTGTTTCCATCTAAGAACTGTAAACTTAAAATATAATTACACCAACTGTTCATAGTGAATATTACCTGTATTTTTACAGATTGATCCAACAAGAACAATATCGGCTGGAAAAGTAAATCTTGGAGCATTTAGAACATATCCCAAGGTAAACAGTTGAGACTAATAAAATTACCAATTACTGAACTGTATTTAATTATACGTATAGACCCTTAAGTAAGGATCCCTGTTAAACATGAATAACTCATAATTGGATCTGGCTTTTGTATTCCTCAAAACGCTTTTTCAGAAAAAAAGTATTTTTCAGAAATGCTTTTATCTACTTTAAAATATCAGTATATGCATATTTATCCTTAGAAGAAAAATAATGTTGATAAATAAACTGATTTCAATGTAAAGATTATACTGAGTTACTATAAACAATAAAAATCTGTGCTGTCCTATTAAATACTCTTCTTTGGTATGTTAGATTCAGAGGGGTTGACTTCTAGACTTCTTTCCAAGTCTGATATTTTTCAGTCCTCCCTTGGGTTGAGGGGGTGGGATTGGATCACTTGTAGGAGTAGTCTTATCACCTTGCCCAAAGGTGCCTGTTAACAATCTATATCCAACAGGAACTGGACTGAACTCACCAGCTTGCTTCCATCAGATTATTATTGATTATTTACCCAAATCAGATGTGAATCACATACCCAAGAAGATTCCAGAATCTATTAGCAGGTCCATTGGGCCATCTGTTTTCAGAAGTTGTTTTCTTTATGCTAAATTGGAACATTTGCAATTGGTCTTAAAAAGACTTCAGTATAAAAAAGTACTTTTTCACTTACGTTTTATACATGTGTAACCTTTGCAGGGCTATAAACCTCCAGATGAAGGTCCTTCTGAGTACCAGACTATTCCACTTAATAAAATAGAAGACTTTGGTGTGCACTGTAAACAGTAAGTACCTCAGAAGTTAGCTATAGTAGAAGGCCTCCCACTGTGATGCTACTAGCTTTGTGGAAAAAATGTTGTCGCTTTTCATTCGTGCTTTATGGAACCCAATTTTAAAGACTGAGGGACCAAATGAAGACTGAGGCAGCTAAGTCAAAGCAGCTAGTTTCTGAACTCCCCTGAATGGAAGTGCCAGTGCCTAATTAATTATGAATATTGACATTAATGCTGAAAAAAAAGCATTTAACAGATAAGTGTACAAATGTGAAACATTTGAGAATGTCTAAAGCTTTACTTTTGCAGTTACATGAAAAAAAATTTGTCATGTTACCATATACTTTATTTTTTCAAGTTGGTTATGTAGTTCAATGACTATGCACATACATGCACAGTCTCCATGTGTTTTTGGTTTTGGGGTTCCTTTTGTTTGTTTGTTTTTTAATGAGATATCCTTCCTTTTGCATATTAGTGCAACTTTTTCCTTGTCAAGTGATAAAGACGTAGAACTAGGAATTGGAAATTCTCAACACTTTCCTTAGGCAAATCAATTTTTTTTACCAACTGAAAACAGGGTGTTTCACTGCATCGCAATACTGGAGTTTAATGGTTTGTAAAAAGCGCTCTAATTTTAAGAGCAAAATTGCTATGGAAATGTTAAAGCAAAATAACTTCTGATTATTTTAGGTAAACAAAGTGCTGGTATAATATAGTTAATTATTGATATCTACCTGTAATGTCCTCTGAAAATGGACTGCTTGATATCGCTCATATCTTTAATTTCTGTCTCTTTCATTCTTATTTATTGATTATTTTGTTTCTCTTGCTCATTACATAATTGAATTGCTTTGAATTAGTGTGTTTACTTGCAAGTACATTTTTTTCCTAATGGAATAAATAGTTCGTGAACATTGAGCTGGGTCAGTATATTAATGTTAATAGGCTAGTGGATCTGTTCTATTTTAAATAAGAATTTACACTATGCAAGATGAAATTATGTGCAATGACAAAGTTTAAACAGGCCAAAAAAAAAAGTATGATGCAATGCTGATTTTGATTGGATAAAGTTGACAGTTAAATAATTGGAGATGTAAAAGTAGAAAACTCAACAGACTAGCTTAATTTAAATTATATCTGAAACACAAAGTTCTCTCTTGGTTTCACTATTCCAAAATAATAATTCTAATATAAATGCCTTTTTCTGTCTGTCTGTCTGTCCATAACGCTTTATTTGCACTGTGATTGGTTGTCTCGGGAGCCAGTTGGAGTGCTCTGTGCTCTGCACAGATAGACGCATAGCGGAGCACCACCATGACAGCCCCTCCTCCCCAAAACCCTGCTCCTTAGAGCCAGGGGCCGGAATGCCCCTCACTCCCCCGCGCACACACAACAGCCAGGAGGGAGGGGGAGGTGGGAAAGAGGGGAACAGGAAGGGGAGGAGGGATTACCAGTGGCAGCATGCTGCTGGCCACTACCGCCCATCACCCCTGGCCACCTCTGCGTGTGAGCTCCCTTCCTCCCCTCCCCCCGTTCCCGGGAGACAGAGGTGGTGCAGGTTTGAATGGCGGGATGGGGTGGTGCATGGGCCCACACCCAAAGCAGTGGTGGGGAACTGGACCCAAAACAATGGCGGGGGGGAAGAAGGAGAACAAGCCTGGGCCTGAAGCAGCAGGCAGGAAAGGGGGGAAGCTGGACCCCAACCCAAGGTGCGGGGGGGAGGTGAGTGACATAGGCCTCTGTCTCTGTCCCCCCCGCCCTCCATCATGCTTGATGGGCAGTTTGCTAGTTTTATTTAATAAAAGTTTATTTTAAGCAACATAGAAACAGTACTTTATAGGCTTGAGCTATTTTCCCTTGCAGGTTCTCTTTTTTTATATTCTACCTTAACATGCTGTTTGTGGGGTCATCATACCCTCCAGCAGCCTCCATCCTCTAGGAGCCTCCTAAGATTTTGGTTGCAAAAAATATTTTTAAAATCAGAAAAAGTGAAACAGGTTCCTTTTCTCTTTACTTCTATTGTGGCTTCTCAGTTTCTTGAGAGAACAGTCTCAAAACATCTGGTAGTTTTCCTTTGTTGTTAGGAATACAAGCTGGGAGAAGGGAAGAAAAGGAGTTCCTTCTAAATATTTACCTAAATGTTTATGCATTCCCACTAATGAGAGGAAGTAATACACTCTTCAGTTGGGGTTGAATCCATAATATTTTATATAGATTTCACTGGTTGGATTCTTAAATAGGAGTTAGGTTACTAGACACCTTTTTGAACCTGGGTCTTTATTTAAAAAAATAAGTGTTAAAACAGAATAGCTATGCCTGCCTTCCAGCTGACCTTCCTTCCTTTTGGGAATTCTGTAATATGAGCAGAAAAGATTATATGATGTATAACAAAAAATAAATACCTTCTTTCTCACTATCTAATATTCCAACCTTTCACATTTCTTTATGTTAGCAGTCCTTTACTATGCTTATATGGCAATAATTGTATGCAGGCATCTTATTGTACAATAAGTCTTCAAACCACAGCAGTTACCTCAGTGATCTTATAGCCCAGGGGTAGGAAACATTTTTTGGCCGGAGCGCCGAAAAACACCACAATGCCTACCTCAGAAGGCGCCGGAGTGCTGGCATGGCAGAAAAACAAAATGAGGGCAAGGGGTACATGGCAGGATGCCCTGCTTGTGCCCCCAGCCCTACTGCCCATGCCCCACAGCCCTACTCCCCTTGCCCCCCACCCAAAGCCCCTGCCCCGCAGCCCAGGCTCTGTGGCTGCCAGCAGCTGTCTCAGCTCTGGGTAGCTGCTGGAGCCTGGGCTGCTCCCAGCAGGGCTTGCAGCATCCCAGCTGCAGCCAGCCCCAGCTCTGGGGAGCTGCTACCAGCCGGGATCCCGGGCTGCTCCCAGCAGGGCTTGCAGCATCCCAGCTGCCTGCTGGGAGCAGCCCGGGATCCCGGCTGGTAGCAGCTCCCCAGAGCTGGGGCTGGCTGCAGCTGGGATGCTGGAGCCCAGCGCAACTGTTTCGAGCCTCAGTTCTGCACCAGCACATGCAGGCATGCCTCAGAGCGGGTGGTGGGGGAGGGGCCTCAGGCAGCGCAGCCCCAGCCTCTCCCCCGCTCCTGGCACGAAGGTGATGAGCCCGGCGCAGCTGTTTGTAGCCAGCCCAGGCTCTGGGCAGCTGTAGCAAGCAGTGGGCAGGCTGCAAACAGCTGCACTGGGCTGCACAGCTCTGGCATCAGCTCTGTGCTGGCAGTGACTGCATGGGCATCTCGGGGTGAGCTGGACTGCCCTGCTGTGAGGGGCAAGGGGCAGTAGGGATTCTGCAAGCCCTGCTGGGAGCAGTCTGGGCTCCGTCGCTGGCAGCAGCTACCTGGAGCCGGGGCTGGCTGCGGCGTGCCAAGCAAAATGGCCTCACATACCGTGCACGGCACGCATGCCAGGGGTTGCCGACCCCTGTTATAGCCTGTTCTGTTGCAACAGACAATTGAAATGAATAGGAATAGCTTTCACTATAGAATAGCACAGATGGGCAGTGGAAGGATATCCAACCTGTGAAAAACATCTCTGGGAGCTTTTGTAGATGTCAGTATATGAATTAGGATTGTAATTTATAATATTTTGTCTGTATTTTGTCAGAGTTTGCTTTTTTGAGGTGCATTTTGATTTTAGTTTTCTAGATCCATGTAAACATAAAGATGTGGTTGTGAAATGTGCCATAGGAACTAATTTTGAAAATTTTGCTTTGTGCTTTTTTAACAGATATTATGCTTTAGAAGTCTCCTACTTCAAGTCATCTTTGGATCGTAAATTGCTTGAGCTGTTGTGGAACAAATATTGGGTTAACACCCTCAGTTCTTCTAGTTTGCTTACTGTAAGTACCATAAAATATTACTCAGCATGCAGGTATCCTAACTTCTTGGTGCCAGGGGAAGGACTTGAGAAGCAAATTGCTTAACAAGCACTTAAGTAATTGAGACTCTAAACTTTAGGTTCTGTATATCAGATTTTAATAAATGAAGAAGAAGAAAGAAAGTTTTCATGAACATAATACATTACTGTTTAATTTTTATTTAATTGTAACAGTCCCTATTTCTGCTGCTTGATAATAAGTTAGTTTTAGTTAAATCTGTTTAAAAAAAAAGCTCAACTTCAGTATCTCCTTATCACATAGTATGCCTAAATATGATTAGTAAGCCTTAAAGTTAACAAGGCATAAAGGAGACATTATTTTTGGGGACAGGTAATTTCAGTCAATTGTTAAATGGCATGCTGGTAATTCACACGTTTTGGTTATTTATATACTGTCCTGTAGGACAAAGTCATTACATTTCACCCAGTACTTAGATATCACTTTTAATGTATTTTGGTTTATTGCATACTGGCTGAAACCATAAAGAGGGAAATGAAGGATTGGTTAATCAGATAATGTAAAGGTTAAGCAGTACATGCTCATAAGAGAAGATTTACTGTGGTTCAGATTACTTTAAAAAAATGTAATCTGTTGAATGATTATATTTTTTGTTTCACATTAAACATTTTTCACTTTCTGAGGTATATTTACCCATTTTCTGTCATAAACTATCTTACTGTGTTGTATTGTCCAGTGTCATATACCCAAGAGAAAGAGAACTGATTTTTATTTTGTGTGTGGGATTTTCTTATTTGTTATTCCCCTAGACATGATCAAGTGCAGGAGCAAAATGGGACGTAAGATATGACTGAACAGTAGTTGCCATAATTTTCCATCTATTCACCAGTGAGTCTTTAAGAGCTAAGAAAAGAAAATATGGAGTGACTTGTGCAGTATCTCAGGAATTATACTACCCATTTCCTTTTTGTATTTTTTATTTTTTCCAGTTCTGTTTGTTAGTATCATTCATTTATTCATATCTTGGTAGAAAAGAAGACTAAACGAGCAGGAATCTACTGTACTAGTTTTATTATAATAAAACTGCAAATAGAGTTTTACAATAAAGGGCATCCTTTAATTAATTGATACTGCTTGTAGTTGTGTGCCTTGCCGTGAATTCTGAGTTATTCTGTATTCACAACTGTGTGGGTAGAAAGAAGGGAGTGTTCAAGACTTCAGGCAGCGTAATATCTGGTATCCAGGAACTGAACTGCTAAAGCC